TGTAGATAGGCTCGTATCCTTGTTGTTGTTGTTGTTGTGGTGGTGGTGGTTGGGTAGGCGGGAGGATAATTGATATTGGACCTCGCAGAGGGCTATTTTTAGGTAAGGGCAGCGACGCGAGAGGGTTGTCACTTGTCAGGCCACTTGTGATGGGCGTCTACGCCACAGTTGGGCAGTGCATGCACGGTGTGCGGGATATGTTGGGGAAGGCACGCTCCGCCTAGCAGCTGCTGTTTGTGTCCATGTGAGCATGATGCTTGTTAGTCATGGCACGTGACGAGACATATACTACTGTGTACACTACACCTGCATGCACATGTTGCGAGCACCACTATATCTGCCTCGTCCTGACGTCAACTGCCAAAACAAAAAAAGGCCACCGGAGCCCTGGTCGTGCCCAGCGTGCGGGAAGACGCTAGACGCATGGCCGTTGTCTCCAATGGCGATCTCGCGACAGCCGCCAACAAGCGCCACGCCTACTTGCCGTCGTGCTCCAACAGCCGCCGCGCCTGACTGGTGGGACTTTAACCACGCATCGAGAGTGCTCCGGGCGGGCAAGCTAGGCTAGCAGCCGTCGTGTCGAGGGGGCTTGATGCCTCTGTACACATGCGTATGTTTACATACATGTTTCATGTGCGTACACTTCTACTAGATGACAGTATGCACGTAGAGTACATACACTCACTGGCCCCGCGGCCGAGGACGGGCAAGTCGCAGGGTGAGACGAGGCAACGGGGGTCAGGATACTGGAGAGAACCGGTGGCAGCAGCGTTAGCCCCGTCCCGTGTCCTTGTGGCGGGGTCGAGTGCGCCCGGTCGTGGGGAACGGCCGGGCTTTCTCTGCTGCACGGCGCGCTTCTAGTAGCCTGCCTGCCACTTCTCTAGCCTCGCCCTCGCCCTCGGCTCCGGCTCTGCCTGCCCTGCTGCCCTGGCTTGCCCTGACCTGCCTGCCTGCCTGCCTTTCCAAGCCGCGCTGTGAACTGCATCCTTCACGCCTCGTCTGCTCCTTGCTCCGCTTCTTCTCCATGTTGCCCTCCGCCTGTTCGCACAACCTGGGCCCATACACCCACCCGACGCCGCTCTCCACCTTCGACGCCGCGCCCTCAAACCCGCTGCTCCCAGAAGCCGCCTCGCACGCCTCGCACGCCTGGTAGAGAACCCTCCTGCACCCTCCCCACCCCCACTGCAACCCTGCCCAGCCATGACTTCCTTTTTCAGTCGCATCAAGTCTGGCGCTGTAAGTCGTCCCCGCCTGCATCCCTCCCGCGCCTGTCAACGCGCCTGTCGCCAATGCCTGGTACTGATGTCGCTCCCAGCCTCCCTTGACCCCGGCGACCGGGAACACGCCTGTCAAGAAAGATATCAACGCGCCCGAACCCACGCCGCTCGAGAAGTTGCTCGTCAACGCCGGCCCTGTGCGTGCCGATGGTAGCGACAAGTTCTTTGGCTTCGAGAATGTGAGTCGCCTTGCCCCGGGAATGAATGCGCCCTCTAGCGTCCGCCTGCTAACGGTTCCTTCTTCTAGTTTGGAAGCACATGGTATGCATACTCCTCACTCACCATCTGCACCCGCTCCCCCAACCAATGCTTACTCTTCCGATAGCTACTGCAATTCGATAGTGCAGTGCCTATACTACTCAGTCCCCTTTCGAGAACAGGTCATAAACTTCCCCGCCCGTTCGCCTCCAGAAGCCCTCGAACGGCCCTCATCGAGCCTGCCCAGGCTCAACACCAATCTCGCCAATGGCCAAAGCATAGCCCTCTCGCCGCCGGGGCGCAATTCCATCTCGAGTCCCAATTCAAGAACACCCGCAAAACCCGCCACCACTCCAGGGGCGCCTAACCAGCCTCCAGGCACCAAGCCCGAGGATAACAAGGACTCGCCCGAGTACAAGAAGAAGCAGGCCTTGGCGGCCGGCCCAGTACTACAGATGGACTACGAGAATGCAAACTCATACGGCATGAACGAATCGCTGTTCTCATCGCTAAAAGACATATTCGAGGCTGTCATAGCACACAGATCACGTATAGGAGTAGTCAGCCCGCACAAGCTGCTCGAAATTCTACGCAGAGACAATGAAATGTTTCGGACCCCGATGCACCAAGACGCACACGAGTTTCTAAACTTGCTGTTGAACGAGGTTGTAGAGAACGTAGAACAATTTTCAAAATCCCGTGCGGCCGAAGCCAACGCCATAGAAGAGAGCGGATCAACAACCGCATCCAGCGACGTAGTGCCAGCCCAAAATTCTGTAGCGTCTTCAAAACCCAATTCCGGATGGGTGCACGAGCTGTTCGAGGGCACCTTGACGTCCGAGACACGGTGTCTCACGTGCGAAAATACATCACAACGAGACGAGGCATTCCTGGATCTGTCCGTCGACCTCGAGCAACACTCATCGGTAACTAGCTGTTTACGGAAGTTTTCCGAGGAAGAGATGTTGTGCGAGCGAAACAAGTTCCACTGCGACAATTGCGGAGGTCTACAAGAGGCAGAGAAGCGCATGAAGATTAAGCGGCTACCCAAGATTCTTGCCCTGCATCTGAAGCGCTTCAAGTATACCGAGGATCTGCAGCGGTTACAGAAGCTGTTTCATCGCGTCGTGTACCCCTTCTACCTTCGCCTATTCAACACCACGGATGATGCCGAAGACCCAGACAGGCTATACGAACTCTACGCAGTAGTCGTGCATATTGGAGGTGGGCCATATCATGGTCACTATGTGTCCATCATTAAAACACAAGACCGAGGCTGGCTGCTGTTTGACGACGAGATGGTTGAGCCGGTAGACAAGGCATATGTCAGGAACTTTTTCGGTGGAGAAAACGTCTTGGCATGTGCATATGTCTTGTTCTACCAGGAGACAACAGAGGAGGCCATGATGAAGGAGCAGGAAGCCGATGCATTGGCTGCAGCAGAACAGGCCGCCAAGATGGCCCAAGAAGAGGTCACTACGCCAAAACAGAATGGCACAAACGGCACAAACGGAACGCCATTCCACGCCTTCCACAATGCAACGACGCCCTCGGTCGAAGAGGCCGACAAGTTTGCCAGTCTTGCGCATGCTGCCACCGCACCGCCCCTCGCACATGTCGAGGCGAATACCGACAATCAGCCAGTTGAACACACCACATCTCACATCCCCACTTTAGCTCCGCGCAAGAGCAACCTTGGCCTTTTTGGAAAAGGAAAGGAAGACAAGGAGCGCAAGGCGCAAGAGAAGGAGCTTGAAAGGCAGGCAAAGCAGAAGCGCAAGGAGATGGAGATGCAAAGGCGGGAGAACTATCGCAAGCAAGAAGAAGAGCTCAAGGCTGTCTTGGAAGCTAGCAAAGCATCGGCTGCAGAAGAGGAGAAGAAACGCGTTGCCAGCGGTGACGCAGCACCACCTCCAGGGTCACCTCCAACCCCGAATCCTGAAAAGGACAAGCATACAAACGGTTTCGGTAGCGTCAAGGGTATGAGTGGATTGAGTCGCTTCCGACACACATCCATGAGCCTCAGGACCAAGCCGAAATTCTGGTCTGGGCACAAGGACAAGGATGGCCATTGCGACGAGCCTCCTCTACCAGACACCCCGACAACAGATACCGACACGGCCGGCAAGAATCGCTTCAGCATAGGGCGGAAAAAGAGCACATTCAAGTTCTAGGAAAACGACTGATTCTTTTTTTTGGTCGCAAATTACGCCTCTTTCGCATTGCAATGTACAGTACAACCTTTTGGACGCAAATTCAGATGCAGCTAGTTTCCGGCATATCAGCCAACTTTTGAGCGTTGAGAAAGTCTCTGTATGCAATATGGGAAATCTTTTTTGCACGCTGAAGAAGAGTCTATAAGCGTTTTAATTTTAGTAAGCTCTTTTCTTCCCCCTTTCAAATCATGGTCGGTGTTTTTTTCTCCGGGCGCATTTATCTCCATTTTCTTCTTCTTCGTTGTTGTTAATTTCCCGGAGCATTTTGTCTGTTTTTTTTTATGGGGGCTACTGATAACAAGCCCGTTGCTACTGTAACTCTGATTGGGGCGATTCATGTTTTGTTTGGACCTGAGAGAGGAAAAGAAAAGGCATAGCAAGAGTTGTTCTGGAACAAAGGGGGAATTGCTATATTATCCCTTCGATTCAGTCTTGTCTTGAACCAGGCTGGGCTAACTGAATGGTTTCGTTCTTGTTGCTCATGGTGCGGAGACCATCGTAGATTGGCTCTGTATAGTTCTTATCTCATGTCTACGCCCCCATGTTGTAAGATAGAGAAAACAACAGTGATCTTGTCCATGTGTTACCTGTCTATCTGTGGGAAATGGCGACAGTGAGTGGTTCTGGGCCGGATTTGGTGGCTCGATGTTTTATTATGTGCAAAATCTTTTAGATGATATTTTGATTAGTTTTCAAATCTTTCATCAAATCCGATATGGTCTAGTGGCTAGGATTTGCCGCTCTCATTGCAGAGTCAGTTCACTGTTCAGTGCCGGCAAGGCCCGGGTTAGTACTATCCTCATCATTCACTCCAACAACTCAATCTAATCCCTTCATAGGTTCGATTCCCGGTGTCGGAAAATTTCTTTTTTTCTCCCTTTACAATCATTGTTATACGACGCTCTTTTTGCCTCTTTCTGGCCAACGAGCAAGTGGGGTTCATATACTGGCTAAGCGAGAGGCTACATTAGAACTATTGTTTTTTGCTCTTTTAGGTAAAGTAGACAGTGTTATCATCTATAATGTTCCTGCTATGATGTCGCTGAGTTATGTTGAGGACGGATCTGCTTCTGGGTGTAAAGAGCCTTCTAATTAGGAGAAGCCTCCTTGCTGTGAGGGTTCCTTAGCTGTAATCGTTCTCTAACACCCGGTGTCTCTCTTGTGTGCCACCTCTTCACAAAGCTAGAATATATAACACAACAGTACCCATTTATAGCTGCTGGCCTTGCACTACTCACCTCTCTCGTCGATAGACACGGTAGAAGATTCAGCGCCCTTCTTGCTAGGACTAGGATAGCGAGTGCTGCCACTACTGCGACCGCGACCTTGTCCCCCTACGCTCAGTGCATTTAGCCTTGGACTGGTTAGGAGCATCCTCGCCACCGTCATCCTCATCGGAGTTGACAATCAACGAACGCTTCCTGCTATCTAGCTGATCTGAGGTGCCACAATGCTCTCTGGCGTGGCTCTCATCTTCAAGGTCTCCAAGCTCACCACCCACGGAACTTTCATGAAATGCGTTAGTCGTTTCGCTCGCAAGGGAGGGGCTGGCAAGCGAACGTGAGCGCGAGCGGGGCTTCGAGCGACTATGGCTTGACTTTACTTCATCGAGAAGGAGCTGTGCGATAGCTTGCATGTTGCCTTTTGCGATGGGCCAATTGGCTCTGAGCTCTGACAGTGCTTCCTGAATATCCTCACGTTTAGCATTCTTCTCGGCAATGTGCAAGTTCTCCTCTAGGAAGCCTTTGGCGTATCTTCTAAGAGCATGCTTCTCCTCTCTAGTGAAGTCAAGAGGGTACAGAATTTCCTCGGCTGGTGGCGGTGGGAATGTGCTGGACCAACGTTCGAATGAAGCGTGTATCTCATCGGATAGTAGATCTAGTTCTTTGACAAGTGCCGCGGGAACTTGGACTTCAATGTCGTCTTCTGTTCCGCGTCTAGTGTGCTCGACACCTATACCTTTTACCAAGGGCTCTATGATATGAGAGATGCCGTCGACTGGCTTCATCTTCTGTACCTCCTGAGAGAGTCTCTGGTAGTTCTCAGCATGGTTGTATGACAGTGGGACCATATTGCGGGCGCGAACAACATCGAATATGACGTGGAAGAGGGGCTGAAGAATGTATGAGAAGTCATCCTCGGTTGTGGGATGAATTCTCAAGGAAGACCCAAGTACGTTGAGGCATTCTTTTGTGACGCGGGAGATGGGCGGATTTAGCTGGATCATGAGCTTAGAAAGCAGGCCCGTAGCCTTGTCGGGAATGTCTTCAAAATCGCCATCATTGCCCCTTAACGAAGCTGTGGAAACCGTTGTCGCGCGTTGCTTGCCTTTAGCACGAGAAGAGGACGGCGTTTCCGGTACCTAGAAGATATGAGCGTGTTATTTATCCCAGTGACAGATCAACATACTTCATGGCTCTGCTCCCCTGAAGCCACACGTTCGAGGTGTGCTCGATAGTTGGCTATCAGTGTAGATACCGAACCAGTGACACCGATCCTGTTCTTGAAACTAATGATGTTCTCATTGGTCTTGTCGATGAAATCTCGCATCTCTGCTTTCGACTTGAGTTCAGCGAACTCGCGCACCTTGGCTTCAATATTGTTGTCCGCCATCTTGATAACAATAGCTGGGTAGGTGTTGAAGAACAAAAGGAAATTTGGTATATTTTGGCAATTTCATTCTTCACGGTCTTTGCTAAAGAGGGTCCAAACGGGAGTGAATGTAAAAAAATCTGTTTGTCGTCGTACTATCGCGATTGAGGTGATTGCTACAGTCACGACACCTCCCACGCTCTTACACCTCCACCACCATACACCACATAGCACCAGGACATCCTGAGAGCGTCAATATGACGACTCCACGGCCGCCTCCCGCGAAAGCTCCTAGCGAAAGGATGAAGTCAGCGATTCTCGCGTTGCAGGATGACGAGGAATTTGCAGAGCGCGCACAACAACCTACCACTGAATCCAGGCTTTACGACAAAGATGCTCCGAGTACGATTCAAAAGCGAAAGCAAGCCAGAGACAACTATGTCATGTTTTGCCAAGTATTCTATGGTGAGACTGATGAGGTAGCTATGTTTGGTACTACAACATTGATTGATCGCGTATGTCGATTCATAGAGGGCATGGCGAAGGCTTCGAAAGGCATACTTCAAGAAAAAGCGAAGATTTCAACATTAATTCAGTATCGTCAAGGTCTCGAATGGTGGATCAAAATCTTAACTACAAGCTTCGCCACCATCAAAAGCGAATTCATGAGTCGTGTTACGCGGCACACCCACATGATCGCGCAGAAGTTCCAGCTGTCCACTGAGAATCGTGTAAAGAACAACCTGGGAGCGCTTGAGGTAGAGTTATTCTTCAACCAGATCATGCTTGAGAGCAAGAGGATTGCGAACTGGAAGCAACACTATGTGGCCTGGGTGTTAGCCTTCATTACTGGCGCTCGACCTGGGTCGTTCACAGTCTCATCGCGTTACCGTCAAGGGGCTCCCATGGGTGGTGCAGTCAGCGACAGTCTGCTTCCTCGCACTGAGTCACATACTCTTCGATGGTCCGACGTGGTATTCGAGCGCATGACAGAAGACATTGCGTGTAGCATTACCTTCCGCTTCAACAAGGGATATCAAGATCCGTACAGGAGAACCTACGTTGAAGGTAGGCGACATTGGTTCTTTGCCCCAAAACACCAAGCCCTGCATCTGGACGTCAGTATCCTGATGTTCTTGTTGGCTTTTGAGCGTGGCCTATTTGTAGAGTCACTTGACGACCTACTCAATGGAACGGCGCGATTCATCAAGAAGAATTCAGTAGTCGACAAGCAAGCGGTGTTTGTATCTGCCGACAAGAATGGTGAGTCATTCCAAACCACGTTGTTGTTCCTTTCATGACTAACCAGATAGGTGACCTTGTTCCAACGAAGGATATGGGTTATGGTGCACTTAACCCGAAGCTACGAGAGATGTGTCAGATTGTCGGCCTTTTCGAATACAACAATATGTACGCCTTTCGACGCGAAGCAGCGACCGTCACTAAGCATACGCATGGTCTGGCAAATGCCCAGGAACTGCTGAACCACCTCCCTAGCGCCCAGAATGCGTACTACCTCCACTATGATCACCAAGGCTTCGGAATGCGCGATACGACTGCATTCCGACTAGGCGGACCTAGGCTATCAGAAGAAGACATCCGGAAATATTTCTCTCAGGCTGTCTCGGTATATAAACCTAGAGAGGGCGAGAAACTCCCGCGAGAAGAGCTCAAGGCTCGTGTTGAGGACCGACTAATAGATCATGAGGAGTTCCTTGCCCTAGAGGAAACACTGGAGAACATCCTTACTGAACGTCATCAAGCTCTGCAGGCTTTGGGACGCTTAGATGCAGGAGAAGTCTACAGCTATTCTCGTAAGTCCAGAGAAGGAATGCACTTTCGCAACACATGCTAACAGATTTTCTTCATCAGCAAGGAATGCCGCCAATTACAAAGCGCTTATGACTGAAGACGCTGTCAAGACACAGCCCAGAGTTGCTGATCTGGTCAAAAAAATAGACAAGCACTCTGCGTACCGCAAGACTAGAAGACGCGACATTCGTATAGCGCTCGAGAAGGAGGTCATGGAAGCTATGAAGATGGACGCTCGTAGCCGCCAACAAATCATCGATCTGGGTGCACCTGGAGCTAGTGCTGCTGCTGCTGATGATGATGATGATGATGATGAAGATCTAAGCTACGCTACTATGGCTGGTAGAGACGACGAGCCTGATTACTGGAGAGCCGTTCCAGAGGGTGAGACGATCGTTGTTGCAGGTGACGAGGAGACCGAGCACGATCGAAATATGCGACGTAACTTCATCAACCAATGGATCAGTCACGTATGTATGAGTTTTCTTATTGAATGAGACAGCGACTAACAGATGCTTTTAGAAAGACTCCGATGTCAAGAAATCAGGCCTCAAGTACTACCTGTGTCGACTAGGTCCTACCATGACTCAAGGTTCTTTTATCAAACAATCATGCTGTTATTGTTGTTGTTGTTGTTGTTGTTTTTTTAACGAAAACCTTCATTGGCTAACAACATACAGCTCAAAAGGATAAGAAGTGGATCCTCGCAAAGTACAACACACACCTAAAGAGCGAGACACATACTAGGAAGGAGCAACTCCGACGGGCATTCAAGATCATGCAAAAAGAGAGCGGCGACAATAAAGCGGCTTGTCCCCTGTGTGACAATCGTGAATACACGAGGGCAGACACCTTCATAGGCCACGTAGAGACGGCACATTCGGAGCAACTCTTTTCTAAGAGAACGCTGACTCGTACTACTCGACTCGCATCTAGCAGAGAAGATGGTACTGGGTAATAACTTGTCACCCCACGGCCCGCTGTGCTGTTGGGATTTCCCAGTGTACCTCTGCTTCAACGTCTGGTTTTTCTTGTAACGATTGGCTGTGCTATTTAGAGGCAGCCCTGTCAGTTTATATGTGACACTGTGTTGACACCTAGTTATTGGCTCGATATACACGGTTTTTGCATCGTCAGCGTGTGATGCCGCTACGTATAGTTATTAGCTTGGGGGTTGGCTTCCGCTTGGCACCCTTCAGTCCATGGTGTAGGTTATGTATGGTTAATGCACCTGGATGCCGATTCCCGGTGTCTGAAAACCTATTTTTGACGTTCCGAGATGCATATTTTTGCACTTTTTTCTTTTCTTTTTGCTTCGCCGATTTTTTTTATTGGAGTTTTCGCTCTCATCATAACAAGAGACTATTTCACCCCTAGTCAGCTATTGTTCATAGCCGAATAATTTTTTCCATGAATACCAAGGTTATTAGAAGCTTTTTGGCCATGAAATATCTCATTCCTAGTCGTCGGTAATGGCGTTGTGGTTTTAAGGTTCTACATGCTGACACGCACGAGCACCCAACGTTGCCCTGGATTACCTCGGCAACCTATCCCTACGTACTCCTCACGTCCATCACAGACACAAGTCCAATGTCGCTGTTAAATACAGCCGGGTCGCGACAACAAAAAAATAGCTTGATAAAATAATTTATTGCAGAAGTGTAACCTCATATTAGTATTCGCACCCGTTTTCGTATGCCACAATGGTGCCACACAATACCCCCGTTATCATTGGCGTAGGCGATATCAAGAATCGCTCTACAGCTGTGTCCGATGCCAAGGAACCCGCAATATTAATGCTCGAAGCTATACAAGCCGCCATCTCCGATGCGAGTCCTAATTCTGTCTCAGATCTGCAAGCTGCAATCGATAGTATCGATGTAGTCAAAACATGGACGTGGCCATATCCGGACTTACCGGGTCTATTAGCAGCGAAACTAGGCGTGCAAGCGGGTCTGAAATGGAAACGATATTCCGATCATGGAGGTGATAAGCCCGGAAAATTGCTAGATGAGGCCGCGAGAAGGATTGCGAAAGGCGAATGTGAGGTTGCGGTTGTGACGGGAGGAGAGGCGTTGGCTTCCTGTGCGTAACTTTTTTTCTTTCTTTCCTCCGTCTATCATTATTTCCTTGGTACATGTGGTGAGAGAAAAGTCTGAAGAACTCACTGACAACCATTTTCTTGCTCCCATTAGTATCTGCATGTGCAGCAGCCAAAAGACTGCCTCCACCAGGCTGGACGCCTCCTTCTTCAGCCGTAGATTCAGTCTTCTCACCCACCGGTCGGGATCTAGGAAACAGTATTTTCCCTCCGTCTAACAGTTCTTCTCGTATACTAACAGCTTCAAGATCTTGGCGCGATACATAAGATTGGTGCTCCGATACACGTTTATCCTTTGTACGAAAATGGGTTCCGTGCCCATCGTGGCCAGTCGCTCCAGGCGAACCATGCAGAGAGTGCAAGACTGTATGCTGAGTTTGCTCGTGTAGCAGAAAAGAACGAGATAGCATGGGGATACGGCCGGAAAACGAGCGAAGATGAGATTGCAAGAGTTGGGGGAAAGAACAGAATGATTTGCTACCCTTGTATGTACTCTACTCCTTCCTGGCTCGTTCATCTGTCGTCCGCTCTTTCCTCGTGACAGGGGGCTACCGCAACAACACCAAAAATTGCTGACTCCTACAGACCCTCTGCTCATGAATGCCTTCAACACCGTCAACCTCGCCGCTGCCGTTCTCATTACTTCTATTTCTCATGCTGCCCGTATTGGAGTACCCCCCTCAAAATGGATTTACCCCCTTGGTGGTGCAGGAACCCGCGACGCAGATGAGTTCTGGCAACGGCCCAATTTCTACTCGTCACCAAGCATCTCACGTTCCATCGACGCCAGCCTACGCGTCTCCGGTACAGCGAAAGAAGATATCGATCTATTCGATATATACTCTTGTTTTCCGATTGTGCCCAAGCTCGCAGCCCAGCATCTCGGATTGCCGCTTACAGGAGGCAAAACTCCATTGACCGTGCTGGGCGGGTTGACGTCGTTTGGTGGAGCGGGAAACAATTATTCGATGCATGCGTTTACGGAAATCACGAGGCAGCTGAGGGACGGAAAGGGTAAAAAGGCAATGGTACTGTGTAACGGAGGTGTGCTGAGCTATCAGTACGTTGTCATCCTGGGAAAGAATCCTCGGGAAGATGGCCAGTATCCAACGGAAAGCCCGCTGCCGGAGACGATCACGGATGTTTCTGTACCAGAGATTGCGGCGGATGCCCAAGGAGAGGCAGTTGTAGAGACATACACTGTCGAGTTTGGTCGTGATGGAAGTCCACTGAGGGGTTATGTTGTGGGAAGGTTGAAGAGCAATAACAAGCGTTTCTTAGCGAACCATGGCGATGAGAGTACACTCAGGCACATGGCTAGTGGTGTTGGAGAGATTGTGGGCAAGAGCGGGTGGGTGTGGCAAGATACAGTGAAGAAAGGACGGTCACTGTTTGCATTCGAGAAACCCGCAAAGCTGTAAAGTAGTCTAGAATTCATGTGTGTACCCGAAACAAGAAACTGAAATATTTAACTTCTAGTTTTTACAGTATCTACTCGCCCATAGCTAGCTACACAAAAAGAAGGGCATACCCGACCTCCCAGTTGGATATAGACCTTCCCAAGGTAACGTCAGACGAGTCTTTGAGATGAACGGCGAATACCTTAGCCGATCACTGAATACCAAGATCTGTGCGCGCGTGAGTGCGTTTGTACACTGTTTATACGTCTCCCGCCTAGCACGGTTTCCCACTTTGCACCCACATCACAAATTCAAACTTGTTATTACCATTACGACAATATGCCTGCAGACGTTCATTTGATTGAAGATGAAGGCGCCTATGAGCCCGTACCTACCAAAGGCCAAAGTATGTTCTCCCACGCAATCTGCATTGAGCGATATTGACCCTGTTAGATGGACTCCGGTTTCCAGTGGAGCGATATCTCCCGCCAAACAATTTCATCAATTTTGATGATGAAATCAATTACCACCAAAAGCTATTATATATAGCGCGAAATATAAACCGTAATGTTTCATGTTTACGGTGTGGAATACCAACTGGACAGCACCCCAAAGATCTTGGTGTTTGCCAGTGGTGTGGTGGCGCCGCAGATGGTGGTCACCCTCATCGAGTGAGTGTCTCTACGAGTATTTGGGGCTAGTGCTAACCTTATTGCAGGAGTGTCTGTGGATATACGCCAATGTGTCCTTCTGGAAGTCCAAACTCAAAATCACTGATCCCACGAGCGGTCAAAAATCAAGCAGCTGGGTCCCTGTCAACGTCCGGATTCAACCTACGAAGAAGGAGCAAACATTACTCGCACGCGAGGACCCAATATTCCTTGACTTTCCACGCGCTCGTGAGAGTCGTGATATGGTGGTGCCTGATGGGGCGAACATGATGCAGCCGGTATTAATTCCACGAAAATTTAAGAATCGAGACCTGAACCGGGGTGAGAAGCGTCAACGAGGAGACGACAATGAAGCAAGTGAACGATCAACTCGACGGCCGTTCGTCAGTGAAAGTGACAAATATGTCGAACTGAAAGCTGCACTGTTTCGTGAACTAAAAGATGAACTGTTCCATGAGCTGTCCCGAATGAGGGAAAAAATCGCAAGGCTGTCGGAGGAAGTCACAGAACTGAGAGCCGTCACTGAAAAGAACCGCGAAAATCAGTTTCCTTCAAGCCTCCTGGATGTCAGTATGGCGGGTTTTCTCCTAGCCACCCCGAGTACATGGAAGATATGTCGCCCTGTCCTAGCAACCCTCGACGGCAAGGGGACCGTTCCAGCCGATTCGGCAACGAGTATGACGAGTACAAGGACTGTGGCAGCGCTAATCCAGGCTTCTATCGTCCCACGCAACAACAAAGCCCACCTTACCCAAGCAGGGGTGACGGCCGAATATTTCCGGTCGGCAGTTGATATCAAGACAACTCCCGTATGGATCGACGCTTTGTACATCATCGACAACAACATCACTCAAGCCAGAGCGGTGGAAAAACGTCTGATGAAATGCTACTTGCATCACATGAGCAAGAGCGGGTGCCATGGATAACCACTGGTACAGGAAGAAAGCTCTTCGATGAACAACGGTTGCAATCAACACCAAAAGCGGCAGTACACGCAGCTGGGGAACAACAGTCATTTCTGCCTATGCACATGAAACGGGAGTGTTCTGCAGAACCTCACTGGCCAAACGAACTGAGCAGAAGCTCTGAATACGGACGCACGGAAAATCGTGGAACTCTGGCGCAACAGCGCAACGATCGAATCAATCGCGACCAGGCTTCCCTTAGGTCTCCGCCGAGACGAGGAGATTACTCGCCTGGTAATGGCATAGATCACTTGAAATGGCCTATTGAAGGCACTGAGATGGAGATGTACTTTGCACGTTGCAGAGACTTCTAATAGATAGTGGCGGTAGTGGACTTCCTCATTATGTTTAGACTTAATCTCAAAATTAGTAAGATTTCACATCACTCTGGTGAAATGAAATGTCTCTCATAATATCATGTAGCCTGATTCTGTGTGTGATGCTTGTTGAAAATAGAGGGTGTTCGTGTGCAAAGCTACTGTTCTACTTCTACTACCTATACTAGAAACTGACATAGATATCAAATGCATCTAGCGAAAACAGTGTTATTATTAGTACAACAATTTAGAAACAAAACCAACTAGAGTGGTTTTAAAGTATGTCCATCTCGCTAACTCATTAACCATCTATCTCACGCTCAATCCTCTAACCATTCTTTCTCAATCCACTCTGTGCTCTTTATTCTATCGATATGCAGAGCCTCTTTGCATATTTCTACATCTGGCTCATAGATACTCCCTCACTGCCAAGGCTGCTTGAACCCGTGACGTAGTGGTCTATCACTTTCACCGTTTGCGAATCTATTTTCGGTTAGTGCGGCAATTGCTCTTTCCCAAAATTTCTCCTCGCTTTCTGGGTTTCCCACAAACAACAACACAAGTTTTCGGTATGCAGCCGAAATTGATCTTGTTGCTTGAGTATCAAAAAGTCTTAGTGCGATTGTCATCATGTGTCACCGATCCTCTGGCCATCAGCGCCACGCGCCTTCGCGCCACGAATCTCCACCGAATAGGTCGTCTCGGTCCTATGAATCGCCCCAGTCTTATCGACAGCATAGTAAGTCTTCCTCTGTGTACTTCAAGCGCTGGTGACTAATCCTTCCCAGAAAATTCCCAGTATCGGGACGTGCCTTCGGGCAACTACTCTCCGCCGAGCAGGCAGCGCTACGCACAGCGTGGTGAGTTTTCTTCTGTGTTTAATAAGCAATATTGTCTGACGTCAAAAAGAACATTCTCAACATAGGGACACAACTCACGATCAACGTGATTACTATCATTCCCCCCGACGCAGGCTTTGTCGCTCGCCTACCCGACATAATAGATACATAGAGTATTCTCAGGGAGCACGTGCTCATCCGAGCGATTATTCGTCCACAGAAAGTGACAGCGATGAAGACTACTCACCTCGACATACCTCACCGGCCAGACAGGATCCTCGAGATCATTTTCCCTATGAGGGAGATCGTCACACCAGTGGAAGAGATCGTTACGGCCGTGAGAGTGATCACTCGCCCCGCCGTATACTTCCCAGTAGATATGGGTCTCTACATACTCGCACCCACGAGGACAGCCCCTTCTCTCGTGAGGCTGGGCCCCCACAGCACAGAGCCGAGACGCTGCCCCCCGCTCAGGCAGTAGACGACTACTTGAGTCGCCAAATCAAGAACATAATTCTTTCTATGTCCGAAGAGGTGATTGCGGAAAGAGCTGCCCGAATAGCAACGGAGACTTCTGAGGCTAGGCCAACCTCACCACAAAGCCAGACACCTGCTGTCACCACCATTTGCGAGAAAGGTTATGGCGGGGCTGCTACAACGACACACGTGGCTCTTAGGTCAAAAACACCGACAGAGATCTGCGAGCAAATGCAGGATGAGGTGAAAGGGCTCCTCCCAATGGAGTATGACAGCAATGCTGAGGCCCCCTTAATGCCATACGGATTTGGTAGTGCTTGGGACAACAGTGCCTCAGGATGTATCTTCCCCTGGAAGTATGGCGCTACAAACTCCTGCAGCCTGGGGCTTTGTAAAGACATGTTCATGGGCAAACCGTGCAGGAACAATACGTGCACACACGCACACAATTGGCTTTCATACGATCAACTTGCATACTTGCTGAGTCAGCCCGATGCGAGAACAAGGAAAGCGGCAAGGGAATTTGTTCATGATTTTTTCCCGCTGTGGTTCCATGCCTGGGTCAGCATGGACATGCCCACTTTCGATAACCATGTGCCCCCCAAGCCGCCAAAAAGTCTAGCCAAGTCATGGCGTCTTCCACTGTCGAATTGAAGGTCGAACCCGGTTGAACTTCAATTGTTGGCGGCTAGGCCAAGCCACCTAATACTTCGGATATATATACCTCCCTCCGTATAGTCGTAGTTAGCCAATGAATCCATTATCCAACATCCGCGTCCTAGTTATTTTGTACGTTTTATCCAAGTTCAACATGCTGAAGCCGATTGCAGCCAGGGACCAAGAGAGGCAGCGAGTCCGTAATCTCACACAACCTTGACCTCCTTCGCCACTGCCGCACAAAGTTCAACCCTCACGCCCGCACCAGAAAGCACATGTATCCAAAGCCTCTGCGTATCACTCAACCGATCATTTTCGCTCTTGACCTCTGCAAACTTGACCTCGCCCTTGATTTCTTCTTGCTGCCCTTGCTCAACTCTCCAGAGAAAAAGATCCGGGACGCCGCCACCCCTCTGCCCATACTCTTGAGCCATGACTTTACATATTGTAGCCAGTGCTTCGCCGTCAAAGCATCGTGCAATCTCCACGAGATCTTTCACATCATAGGTCCAGTCGAGCCCGACAACGCAAGTCCGACGCTCATGATGGTCGTCGTAGATCCTCTGAATAATACCTGGCGCGCTACCGTTTGAAATCTCATTCAGCCGGGAATTGATTTCTGAGATACGCGAGGGGTAGAAGGCGTCGGTGTGCAAGTCCAGTGGGCAGGTCTGGTAGGGCGTTTGAAAAACATTAGGGACATATGTGAAGAGGACGTCGTAGAAGAGGTAGGCAAAGAGGGTACGTATGATGCCGCCTTCGCTATGGAATCCTTTCCAGCCCTGGTTGCGGTAGTGCGATAGACACATTGCTTCGACTGAGCATTCGCCATACTCGCGTGGGTCAATCCAGATGGTTTTCCCGCCGCGTCTACCAGAGTTGGGATGAGGAGAGTTGCTTCGTCTTGATGATACAGGGGTTTCGCGCTCGATGCGGGTTCCTTCCATGGTGACCTCGACTGGCTTTGTCAAGCGCACGTGGGAAAAGTCATGCTGGAGTCGTTTGGCAAAGTTGAGAGACAGTTCGAGTTTTGTGATGCGCTTCTGGAGGTCGTAGTGGTGGATGACATGTACGAGGTTGTCTTGCAAGCCATCTTCGCACGTCTGCAGTGCAACCTGCTTCCAGTGCCTCTTTTGCTTGTCTATGCTCCTCTTTCCTGGGTCGGTGAGCGCTGCCATGTAGTGCTCCTCGAGAAGCGCTTTGCGTTGATACCATGCACCTCTCCGCGAGTGATGGAAAAGGCGCTGGCGCAACAATTCGGTTACAATCTCGTGTTCGCGCTTGTGTTCTTTCCGGCGCCTAAGCACGTCGAGCGCTTTGTGGATGATACGTGTGTACACCCAAGCTGGAGATAGCCGGCGTAGATATGAGCCCTCCCCGCTGTGATAGACGCTATCTTCTTTTTGCTGCTCTTCTTGGACAAGAGTTTGCCAGCGGGGGTATATTTCCTCAAATGTATCCAGAATTTCCCGGTACCCTTTCTCTGTAGGCCTACCACTATACTCCAAAATATTGTCTATCCTATGTTGGGTTCGGATGGATGCCTCGTACTCCAACAACAATGATCGGGAAGCGAAGATATTTGCTGACCGAGAGACAATATACTCTGGGAAATTTCGACGCGCTATTTTGGCCAAGATGATGGTTGTCAAAGACTTCTCTGTCCACTCAGTAGACCGGTAAAAAACAAGGTGCACGCGCTCAAAGAGCTTTAGAGGTGCTAGAGAAAGTCGTATACATGAACCAGTCTCCTGCATGATCCTGCGCGTGAAATGCGCATCACGGTTGGCATCGTCTGACAAATCACCCTCAGGTTCCAACTCCACATCTGGTGTTTCCGGCCGAGATCTGGATGCGGAAGAGGCTCTGGACATTTCCGAATCCGACCGCTTCAGCCCAACATAGCCTAGGCCGGTTTGCTTCTGACTTGTGCGTCGAAGGGCCTTCAAAAGCTCACTCTTGTTCTTTCCTTTGACTTTGGCGTCCTTTGCAAGAGCCTTAAGTTCATCAAGTTTCAGAAGAGATGACGCTTCTTCAAGTGTGCTTATTTCCTCTTCGGATCGATCCGCGAACGTAAACGAAGTGCCTAGTACAATTCCAGTCGGTGCTTCAGACTCGCCTGGATGCGGCTCGACTTGGGAAGAGGGTGCAGGTAGTTCGTATGTGCGCTGCAATGTTTCGGCTGCTGCATCGAGATCTGAGATATCGGCATGGTAGCCAAGATTCTTTACTCGATGCCAGGCAGATGTCTTCCGCAGGAACAAACGTACATATCTGCAAGTCGACGTCAGAGCTAAACCGAGACGTCTTGTGGTATTCCCACTCACAAGTACTGCGCCTCATAACCCAAATCCCGCCATATTCGAAAGACTTCTGTCTCTGCTTCATCGAAGAGGTGCCCTTCTTCATCTAGAACAGTGTCTAGTGCCAAGTTGAATGCATCGACATAAAGCGAGCTCGTGCCTCTGATCCATGCTCGCTTCTCCAGACGTTCACTGGTTTCTTTTGATTTATTCTCTTCTGATGCCTTGTATGCTTCATATTCCTTGATAGCCTCGTCGTCTATTTTCACCTCTGGCAATGCGCTCTCCAAATCTGTTTTGGGCTCCTTCTCTTCTTCTTTGATTTCCACCCGGCTTTCTTCATCCTCGGAGCCAGGGACCTCACGTTTCACTCTTTTACGTGGCGTAGGCGGTGCCTTTTTCGGACTGTTGCCTTCCTTTTGACGCTTTACTTGTTGGTCTCGTTCGCCATCAAAGTTTGTGGATTTCGGATGTTTGATAAACCGAGTAATCATCTGATTGTGGACGGAAGGACTTCGGGGGTTAAGGGCCATATCTGGAGTCGCAGCAAGCTGCTGAGTGGTTCCATCTGTCCAAAGCGGCGTCGCCACGAGAGCGGACGCGATTTCCCCAGGATCGCGGTGTCACGAGGGAGCTAGTCCTTTCTTGTCATCAAAAGAGCGTCTCAATGACGTCATTGCAAAGGGAAAGGTGCGCTTCGTGAAGGTGAGCCAGCAGGTAAAAAGATGAAGGAGAGTATGCTTCGAAAGTATTCTTGGAATGTTTTCCTGGTATCTCTGATAAACCCCGCACCAAGGGCGCTATTTACTCAGACGCCCAAACCTTATATCCTCATGGGCATGTATCGACCTCTTTGGCTCTCATCTAACAGCGTTTCTCCCCAAAGTCTAATGCGTTCCTCTCCATGCTCGGCTCAGCCCTTGAAGTCTTTCACAGCTCATTTACCTGCAAATGTGGGTATCCTCTGGTCCATGTATCCAAATCGATGTGCTCGATACCTCCATAAATCCAACAGACAGCACTTATTCAAAAGCAGGTAGCATGTCTTGAAAATACCATGAGCATTCGCTTTCCTTATTGTTGTCCAAAATTCTAACGAGAACCTTGGTGCCATCCCCGGTAGCCTCAATTCTCTACGGCTCATGTGTCCTTTTGTTGAAATGGATACAAATCCAGATGCAAGTCGTTTCCTATCGCAATGTTGTAGGCGCATCTACAATAAGATCGACAATGTATATCTGTTATCCCTGGGATATATTGATGCTGCTAGGAACCATCAGACTTGAAAAATGCAACGTCAAAAGTGAAGCGCGGTATCGGACTGGCTATCTGCACTGCGATAGACATAGGCGTCAGTGACAACAAAACTCTTTGCCGCACGAAACAAGCATCATTTCATGTTGGCGACTTTCGTACGAATCGTTCAATCAGTGTGCGTACAGCTGTTGAGGCGTGGACCCTTCGATGTGCCGAGACCGTTAGCGTCCATCATGAGCATTGTCAGATAGGTATGCGCTCTCTGAGCATACATCAATATTGTGAGACGTACATGCAAACCCATGACCGCTTCCAAAGCTAAACGTTTCATTCGGTGTCCCAATCGCGGGTCCTTCTCCTGCATCAGATGCATCTGTCTGTTGCTCGGTTGGGTGGTTGTGGACCGAACTGAGCGTAGCCCAGTCAATACTTTCCCATGCATCCAGATCCGGCTCAGCAACGTGGTGTTGCAAAGGTCCAATAGGGCTGTTGGCGTCTTCAGCTTTGAAGGGCGCCTCGAAATATGGCGCAAGCCTACGCACAATAAAACATTATATATAAGCAAACGAATGCATTGGCAGGATGTTTTGGTCATCTAACCTGAGATTAACAACCCTTTCCCATAGGTAGCATACAGCTTTGTCCAGCTTATAGCTGACCCAGCCGCATAGATGTAGTCGTTCGAGCAGCATCTCTGCCGATAATATACCGAATTCCGCGCATGCGAGCGATGTCTGATGGATGAACCAGACGGCTTCCGGCGAGGGCTCGGCCGATATCGCACCGATGGATAGAATCCACAGTAGTAGGTCGGGGCAGTTTTGCCATTCAGTTCGGACGGTACAGTTGAGTGCTTTCTCGAGGCGCTTGCTCGCAGCAAAATGGAGAAGATGAACATGTGACTGCACCTTCATTGCCTCTGTAGTACGCACGGTGAAAATCAGCAGCGCGACACACAATGCATCTTCGAGAGGCGTGACGAGATGTTCATTTTCTCGCAGCCATGCCAGCAATGAACACTCCAAAACACAGGCAAAGTTTTGAATATCGAGAGGATCCAGCGGGCTTTCGGGGTCACCAAACCAAACGTTGAGATCAGCTATTAGCACAAGCACTGACTCTACCAAAGCATTGAGAGACGTCTTGACACCTGCATAGCGACAATAGTTGTTGAGGTGTTTTGATATGTTCGGGCGGTAGTCTGGGGGGTGTCGTGGGAAGATTGCTGTGTTTATGAAATCCAATGTTGAGAGGTTTGGTGCTTGGAAAGAAGCGACGGCGTGAGCGGTCGAATGCCTGGTGCTTTGTAAGCACATGCCAACTCAGTTCAGCTAGTGATGCAAAAAAGTGTTCACCCACCAAAGCATAAAGGCCTGGAGGATACGGTTCGTCTTGATGGCACCGAGGCCTCCGCGCAACTGCACCATTCTTTGCAATCCCCTCTGGTGTATCTGGAGCTGTGCCATATGGTCCTCTTCAAGCCTAAAGGTTGGAAGTAACAAGCTTTCTTCGACAGTGAGCAGATTAAAGACTGCGCCAATGTTGGCATCAGAAATTCCTTGTGGAGTCAGTATAGCTGCATTCACCGCAGCGATTGCCTGTGCGCGATGGTATAGGATGGCGTCAATGGTGCCTTTGCCAAAAACATATGCATGCAGGGCTATAGTAGAGAGCAGGCTGTGCATAAAGCCTGGATTACTTATCGCGGTGCCAAACCAATCCGACTTCATGAGGGTGGACCGATGGCGGACGTCGACTGCAATGATCCCTGGCGCCATCTCGGTTGAGACTGTTTCGTGGTCAGCAACGCAATGCAGCAGGGCTTTGGTCAAGCCACAAATGGCGATGGTGTCAAATGCAATGATGCCTCTTTTGTGCTGACATGACCAACTTGAGTATGGAACACAAACTAAACAGGGTTGCTGTACCACCATGCCGGTATCCCCAGACCCATGTACCCAAGAAGATGCAGGGACTACAACTTACAATGCCTCAAAAGTTCGGATACATCTCGAGTGACTTCAACGGATGAAGTGCAAAAGGGGTCAAATGATTCGGTGCTGGGGTCTTGAGCAGGCGCGGGAGTCTGTAGTAGACATCTTGGACACAGCCGCTCATTAGGGCGACAGAGAAAGACGTGACAGTCGGGGCAGACAAGTTTTCTGGCCAGTGCATACTCACGGCGGTCCTGGGGAGGAAAATAATCGGATCTGTTTGGGAGGAGCGGAGGACTTGGCGTTGCTGTGTTTGGCGTGTGTGTCGAGGGAGAGGCAGCGCTGTTGGGGCTTGTGCTTTCCGGGCTGCCCGTCTTTCTTTGCTTTGCCGCATGCTTGCTGGTAGACCATGGGTTCTTCCTGCGGGCATTCTGCATGACAAAGGAGCGAGCATTGCGGCGGCCCTGGCGAGATGTCTTTGCTTGAGCGGCGTCGACGAAGAGAAAGTCCTGTTTTTGAGACATTATGGGCTCGGCCCGCCAGCGCCGTCGTGGCCCTAGGGTGCCAAAGTGTCCCGTCGCGGGACCCAGCGAGGCGCCGTCTTGTGGGTGACAGGCACAGAGAAGACGAAGGGGTGGGGCTCAGTAAGGCGTAGCCGGTCGAAGAAAAGGAGGAGTGACTGGGCCAGACTTTCCTAATCGATGCTCGGCTGCCACCATTTTGATTCTGGCATGTGTGGAAACGAGGCTGAGTTGGGGTTGTGTCGTTCTTGGTGATGCTTGACACAGCGGAGGGGCGTGGGCAAGTGCGAACTATCAAGAACCTGATTGGTATTAGGCTGCAGAAGCGACGCCGGGTAAGGCCTCTGTCGGGGCCGCCGATCTAGACCGCTGGCGAGCCTATGTATCGAGGCGAGGTTTGACCTGGTGTTTTCTGTAGGCGGATGCAGAGCCGTTGCAGCCAGCAGCCAGCAGCCAGCAGACGGTGAGGGAAGCAGGGCCCCGGCTTATATGTAGGCCAGACATCAAAAATAGCATCAGCACCCCCCGTGGCCCGTGGCTAACGCTGCATTTGCATGGTCTGTAGTATGTATAGAACGGGGCCTGCCTTCTCCAAGTGCATGGCATGAGTACGTGCGGCCTACCTGCCGTCTCCCATGTGGTGCTGCATGCACACTGGCTACTGGAGACATGGCCGAGTGGTGTCTTGGGGGGTGGTGAATGCCATGATTCGCTTGTCGCCCCCATGCCCATGTACAGAAGACAGAGAGAAGCGGCTGCACCATCAGCGCCTCAGACGCTTGTACCCGACTCTGCTTGTACGCATCGAGTATGGATGTATTGGTGTATGTATCTCCATACATACATACATACATGCGCATGTGTGCGTGCATGTGTCTTTTGCATGCCCGCCAGGCGCTGTGTGTGTGCAGATGATGGATACGTAGTCACTCTTGGCTTCCGACCGCGTTCCGAGTCCGCGGCCAAGGGTCATGTCGCAGACGCCCTGTCACCCTCGCTCGTAGCAAACGGGAGCGAAGTAGATACATACATTCGGTCAAGATGAACGGCTCCATGGCGCACGAACAAGTCCAAAAGCCAAGGACCACACCGGTACCAAAGCCAGCAATCTCTTGGTAAGCGCAACGGGTCCGCGCGTCCCTTTGCCGGTGCTGATGCTCTTATGTTCGCACGCGTCATGTTGGCACCAAATCTTCCCAAAGGCAGATCGCAACTGCTTTTGCAAGCCACAGTGGCGCCCCTCCCTTCACCATGCTGTCTTCTCCAGCCCTCATCGACATACCCGCCCACATCCTCCATGCCGAATTGCTCCGCCGGCAAGAAGAGACCGATGAGCGGCCAAAGTGCGAGACAAAAGGCGGCAAGGGGCAGTACAACACAACGCTGCATGTCTTTGCCCTGCTGCTCATCCTCACCCTGAGCACAGCGGGTATGTCCGCCCCTCTCCCCACTTTCTACCCCCTCATTGCTAACCCGTGCAGCTTGCTCCTTCCCAATCATCGTCAAGCGCTTTCCCTCGATCCCCGTCCCCCACCAGTTCCTCTTCATCTCACGACACTTTGGCACCGGCGTCCTCATAGCCACCGCTTTTGTCCATCTCCTCCCCACTGCCTTCGAGTCCCTCACCCACCCATGTCTGCCTCACTTCTGGAACAAGCGCTATCCCGCCATGCCGGGCCTTGTGGCTATGACAGCCGTCTTTGTGGTTGTGAGCATTGAAATGTTCTTTGCAGCACGCGGAGCGGGACATGTGCATTCGACGGGCTATGAGAACCTTGGTCTGGACTCCTCTCAAAATGGCGCCCGTCCAGCCCACAAGAGGAGCCATAGCTACGGCATGTACAGCAACGGTATGCCAGGGGCCAGTGGCCTTGCGCCAGGTATTGTGCTCCATGATGTCGAGTCCTCGACCAACTTGATGGCTGGACGATCGCCCTCCGTTTCGGCTGCATCGCCCATGACCCCTACCATGCCCATTGACGCACGGAATCAAAAGTCCATGGACAATGACGATGACGACGATGATTCTGATCTGGAGATTACTAGAGAGGAACTGGCTCATCAGGATGCCGAAGATTCAGAAGACGAATCCCGCCTGCTACCAGGACCTCACACCCACCAGCAGCACAGCCATGGCCGCGGCGAGTCGTCCGAAACCCCTGAAAAGTCGGACGCCCAAAATAAGAAGCTCCTGCTTCAATGCTTGCTGCTCGAAGCTGGTATCCTTTTTCACTCTGTCTTCATCGGCATGGCCCTTTCAGTGGCAACCGGCACTGCTTTCGTTGTACTTCTTACTGCAATATCCTTTCACCAGACTTTTGAAGGATTTGCACTCGGTGCGAGAATCAGTGCTATTCGCTTCCCGGCGGGATCACCGAAGCCCTGGCTCATGGCAATGGCCTATGGCACAACGACCCCTATCGGCCAAGCCATAGGACTGGCGATCCACACCCTTTACGACCCTGCAAGTCAAGCTGGCTTACTAACCGTAGGCTTCATGAACGCCATATCAAGTGGCCTGCTTCTATTCGCCGGCCTGGTCGAGCTTCTTGCCGAAGACTTTCTCAGTGACGAGAGTTACGTCACCCTGCGTGGCAAGCGACGACTACAGGCATGCGCCAGCGTTTTGGGAGGGGCGTACCTAATGGCACTTGTCGGCGCATGGGCATAATTCGTGTTTGTATCGTTGTACTGTTTTAGCGTGTCATGCATCTCTCTGGTGTTGTGGCTGATGACATTCAGCCTCCTCCGCTTCATAATCACATTCGCCTCTGCAATCAAATCGCGCAGGCCCCGAATATCTAGGTTGGTTACAAAGTGTCGCGTATTGCCGAGACCAAGGTTACATTGTGAGGCAAATTGCAGCCATGCATCCAAATCCGATATCAGGTGCCTCAGATCATGCCACTGTGGAAATATTTTCTTGTCGTGTGAGTTTGATTGGATGGTCCCTATAATTTCCTCGCCATTTACTTTTCCACCTCCTCTTGCTCCTCTATGCTTCCCACTCTGTGCAACACCTCACTACTCTTCTCGCCTTCGTTTCCGCCCACAATGCCCATTTCCTCCTCCAATGCTCTGCAGCGCCCAACCAAATCGCTAACATGCGCATCGCCACTGTCTTCGCTCAATCCGAGCAGCGCAACATCAAGGTTGTACAAGTATTCTCTGTTCTCTCCACTTGGGCCCTTGCCTAGGAAATCACCAATCAGCCAAACCAATCAATCATCACAAAGGAACAGAAAACGACTTACTTTGCAGGATTTTCCTCGCCAACGCATCCGGGTCCTGTGCACCTAGAAATTGGGGATTTTCTGGAAGACCAATGTACACCAGACACTTGATGCACTCTGGCTCGGGCACCAGTGACTCTGTGCTCGTGACCTTGATGGCTGTCGAAGGCAACGACGACGAATCCTCGGCAGGCACTTCTTCGGGCGCAGCAGTCGCGCTGCTAACGGCAGGATGGAAAGGCGTAAATTGGATAGAGTAGCCGTTTATTTCTCGGAGATCAAGATATTTGCGCACAGACTCGACGTGGCGGGCGGGAATATGGTATGCTGCGCCCCAGACACGAGAGGGGGCGTCATGCTTGTGGCATGGTCTTAGTATTCATGTGTTGGTGGTTGGGAGAAGACGACATATGCATTTACAAATGCACAATGAATTTTCGATGTGGAAAAACGGAAAACAAACGACTTACTTGATCGCCCAACGTCTCCCAATGCGCCCGATCAATCAAGGTTACGACGCGGCCAGGTGCTTCGGGCGTACCGCGGTGATCTTCACTGTAATTTTTCAATCGTTATTATCCAAGTGTTCTGTCGTCTGCGGCATGCTAGACTAAGTCGTGCGCACATGGGATTGTTTACCTCGCCTACACAATCACTAGGTTAGTTCTCGTTTTTCTTCTCTTTTTTCATGCAGATCAACATATGCATGACTAGCTCCCGAGTCGGATCTGATAGACATATACCTACAAAGGAAGAGAAAAATTTAAACGTACCTGCCAAAACCGCCTCACGTAACCTTCAATATATCCTGGAAGTCTTTGATCTACATTAATTAGAACCAGATCATTTCAATAATCTCATGATTGTGAAAAGAGATAAAAACAATAACAAAAAAACCAGGGACTGCAAGATATGCGGGAAGCAAAGAAGCAGGGCTAGATAGCTTATCCGTAAACGTATCAAATGACTTTTCTTTCTTCTTCTCCTCATTTTTTTGGTGAAAAAAAAAGATTTAGTAGGGGGAGGGGGGGACGGGCCGTACCGTAGTGTGGCGGTGGTTTCCAGATCAAGCTTCTATTTCCACCGAAAAAACAAAGCACCAAGCGAGTTAGCCCATGTGACACACAAACTCAAGCTGCACATGTATTATACACATGCATGCAACCAGGACATACATTTCTGTATGTAACGATATGAGAAGCAAATGCAGGAACGGGGAAACTTTTTTCTTTCTTTTTCTGGTAAAGTGATCAAACGTACCCGTATCCAAAGATCCAAAAATCATTATTAGCCCCGAATGATTCAATCTCCTTCTCATGTTCTGTCGTCATCTTTTCCCTCTTCTTCTTCTTCTCCTCTTTTTTCTTCTTCTACTCGTGCAGGACTCTTTTTCCCCTACCACGAAAGGGCGATGGAATAGCAAGAAGATACAAGAAGAAGAAGAAAAAACAAAACAAATAAACAAAAGATAGGTAAGGTCGAGTTGGGAGAGTGTAAAAACAAAAAAAAAGGAGTTGCAGCAAGCAAAAAAGATAAGCGTTGGAGAAAGGCGGAAGAGGAGGGGGAGGGGGAACGGGAAAGGCAGTGTGACGTGACGTGACGGGGAGCGAAGACGCAAAGCTTAAGCTTAATTACCTAAGTCTCAGGTTGGGAAGGCAAAAGGAAAAAAAAAGAAGGAGCGCGCGTATGCCTGCATCCGGCCTTCTACTGGCGGATTTCCTGCCGTGAAGTGGGTAGTGGGGCATGCGCGCGCATGTTTGCGGGATGGGGCTAGGCTACTTGGAGTATATGTTACAAGGGAGCATGGGGGGGTCCAAATGCATGAGGGATGAAAGGGAAAAAAAAGGGACAAAGGGAAAAAGGGAAAAAGGGGGATATGGTACGATTGTCATATATCTCAGACATGAGGAATGCTGGCTTCGGGATTTTGCTTCGGGTCGGGGATATAGGATCGGTGGGGAGGGGGGGGGGCGGGGGGTTGCTTCCTCGGAGGTTAATTTTTTGAATGTTCGGTGAGTTTTGTCAAGCTATGTAGGTATGTATACACGATGTACAGTGGTAAATAAAAGTACAACAATCTTTTTGTTTTGGGGTGCTCATGATCCCCCGGCTGCTTTGCTCATAAAGAAGCCTTTGAGCGGGCCCATGGCATCTACAGCTCTCAAACCTAGGCTTCGTAGTCCTACCAGTGGTCCTGATTCTACACTATAGAGCCTGTGCAGCTTGTCACATACGCCCAACATGGCATTGTTCTCCGCATATCGTTCGCTGTTGTAACTTTCCAATGCCAACGTTGACCCAATGTCCTGACCAGTCTGAACGGCATACGATATTGTTCGGACAAGTGCTGCTGCGTCGCCCTGTCCTTGGTTGAGGCCTTGGCCTGCAAGCGGATGTATGGTATGCGCAGCGTCACCGACTAGCGCGACTCTTTCACCCGTATAAGTGTCTGCATGTCGCATACGAAGCGGAAAGGATGCAACAGTGCCAGCCTGTACATTGGCCACACGCATAGGGATCGCGTGCTCATTGACAGGTGTGTGCTTCTCTCGCCATGCAACCTCCTCCTCATGTCCCGACGATAGTGTGTGCAAGTACTCGAGATCAGTGGGTGACAGCCGGAAGCCTGCGTTGACCATGGCAACGAACTCCTGCTGCGACAGTGACTTGAGCTTGGCGGCACGCTCTGGCGTTGTGCTCCATACAAGCGTCGACATGTTGCCAGGCAGTGGTAGCATAGCAATTGGTCCCGTTGGCAAGAAGCGCTGGTACGCGATCTTGTGGTCCGACCCTCCCCAACCCTGGCCTTCAAGCTTCAGGCTGGCTACAACTCCATGTCTATTGTAATCGAACCCTCGCGACTCAATGCCTGCAAATGTCCGAACTGGACTGTTCGCACCATCGGCGCCCACCAACAGCCTCGCGGCGAGGGACTTCCCATTTGACAATGTGAGTATCGGCCAGGACGAAAAGTCCATCTTGTCCGTATCGGTGCCCAGGTCTATCGAATTGACCTTGGTAGATGTGTAGAAATCGACACCGCCGAGCTCTTCAAGCCGGCTCAGTAGGGCAGTGACAGTGTTGACATTCTCAATCATGTATGCAATGGTCGTCGGCTGCGCGGGGTTACGGGGGGTAAGGAGAGGCTTTGCGGTGTGCCAGTCGAAGGATATGCGTGCTCCGCTTACGCCGTCCCATACTTGCATTTCCTGGTATGGCTGTACTCGAGGCTGGTTGACATGAGCCCACGCTCCAATCTCTAAACATCATATGTTAGACAATTCCCCAACTCAAGGATCCACATGCTCGTGCGCACCCTGCAGGTTTCTCACGGAAGCTGGTGTGAGGGAGCTACATCTATTCGAGAAGGTCTCTAAGCTTGCGTCTTGCGCCAGCCGGCTCCTGTGCAAATCCTGGCCCTCAATAAGGGCAACTTTCAGTCCATTGGTAATTGGTGATGCTTTCAGACCCGTGAGTAGACTGAGGCCAGCCGGGCCTCCACCTACACAGACGACATCGTAGACTTCTGGGGCATCTGCGGAGCTCGAGAGAAACCTCCGCCGGGGCTGCAGGCGCACGCAGCGTGTCAATGGCGACAGTAGGGCTCGGGACGGTGCCAATGATATTTGAGGCGGCATTGCGAGCCTTTGAGGTGCTGCCGTGACATACGCGAGTATATGGGATTTGCGCACCTCGAGCGTTGTAATGGTGGTGTCATAGCGGTGTTTGGCGTGTTTGCAGATCCACGCTAGACAAGACGTTATCTTATCGGGTGCGGGTCGAAGCGGCATGCCGCCGCAATGTGGAGGCTGGCTGGGTCCCTCCAACTCTCCAACTTCATGTGGGACCACAACCACGTCCCAGTCAGCCAATCTAAGCAAACGGCATCAGTGCCGCCAGTACCTTTGCAGTGGTACCATTCGGCCCGTCGAGAAACATGCCGTTTATCCAGATGCCACCCAGCATATTGATTGCCTGTTGTCAGGGCATGTTGTGAAAGAATCAGACGGTGACCTCACGGAGAAGACTGGCAGATTGCCGATTGAGTAGACAGGTCTCTCATTAACAATCACCGGAGCTAATCTGGCTGAGCCCGTGTGTCCGGATTGCCCTTCAAGCCGGCACTGGCTGAGACTGCCCTATGGTGCAGGGTCAAATCGACTGCTTTCAATGGGTGGAACTTTCCCTATCTGGACACCCAAACAAGGGATCCGAACCATAGGATCGGACAAAGTCTCTTCATCCAAGCGTCTCCCATAGAACAGACACTATTGGAACCACTAAGCATGGCTCGTTTATGCAGAACGCAAGACGTGAGATTTAATCATTACTTCCTTAAAACTTCCTTTCGGCTTCGGTAGTATTGCTTGTGCGGTGCACTGGTTATTTAATCGGGTCCATACCATGATGCTGACCTGTCTCTTCCTCGATACCAGCCCATCAGGCACGTCCGTCCGCCGTCACGCCCAATGCATCCTCAGCTGTTAGGCTGGCTTCTTCTTACACATCGTCCCAAGGTCCCTTGAAAGCCTGCTAGCATACCCTTACAGCCGCGTTGTGTCTTTATATAAACATCGCCTTGGAGCACCACTTTGGTCTACGCAATTCGACTGTTCCCCTAAACACTTCCCCGCTGGCCGCCACAATGAGCTATCAAACTCACCAACACATATCCTTTACCGAGCCATGTGCAGCTATGAGTTCCTGCGAAACCGATTCCGATTTGGAAATACTTCAACCGTCGCACCCTCGACGACGTACACTAAAGCGAGAAGTTTCAAAATCCTTCTTGCATACGTGCAATTACCTCGGAAAGCGTCGGAAAAGGTCACAATCAGTGCCAGAGAGGTCCACCAACGGCCCTTACCTAGTACTGCGACCCGGAGATTACCTGATGTCATCATCATCTTCCAATGTCAGTAGCAACCACTCTGTCTTTACCACACCACTTCCCAGCCCTGCCATTGATGACACGGAACACGGACTGGAACATGGGCGGAGACAGTCGCAGGTTGGCGAGCTCCTCAACCGGCTCAACTTTAGACTCAAGCGGCTCTTCGGCAGCCGGAGAGGCTCGCTTGAAGATGGAGACCCGTCAGTGGCCTCTTCTGACACACGGCACTCAAGTTTGTCTTTGAACCTGCGTGGCCCCACAGACCCAGTAAATATCGACTGCACTCCCGAATATCAGATGTGGAATGGGTCGTTTCAGCTCCCCAATGTAAGCGAGTTCTTTGACGCAAACGGCGATGTTGGCCCCAGTTCCTTCTACAACACTGCTGACTGGAATGCTTTCCAGGAAACGTTGCAGGCACAAGGGAATGCAGTCATACAGACACAGGTCAACGGCCACCGAGGTTCCAACGCGGATATGGATCTGGACCGATTGGATTGGTTTCGAGCACATGGCACGCAGGGCTCTGACTGCGAGCCTCGGACACGCAAAGATTCGTTCTTCGGCTTTGGCGATTTCCTGAGATCGCGACGGTCCAGCAAAGTGGACAAAGGGAAAGGGCGCATGACTATGAACAACGATACAACCGTGGCGCCATTAGATGAAATGGCGCTTCTATCTAGTGGCAGTACGAGATTGGGAGTGGAAACATGTTGTCTTGCTGAGATTGGTGTTCTTCCTCGCGTGTCAATGGAGACGATGTTGCCCCTTTCGCCAAAGGAATCACAGGATATCCCACAGGCGGAGTTCTCTACCTTGGAATCCAGCACACCATCATTGCATTGCTCGAGGTCTCCGACACCACCCGGTGAAGAAGCGCAGGAAACACAGATGCACAGAGCACAACCGATCAGCTCTTGCATCACCATACCACTTTTGTTAGAGGGACAGGTGAGAGAGGTGAAGGCGGCCTGTGGGTCTCCAGCGTCGTCGGTCTCTAGTAGGGATGATCAACCGGCTCCCGTTAGACCTGCGACACCGGTTCTGATCCCCACCATCGTGTCATCGCCATCGCCACTGACTCCGATGCAAAGTCTTAGTCTGGACCCTCGGGAGCACGAGATGGAATGGAGCCGGTGTTCTTCGAGCAAATGCAGATCCCGCGTCTCGCTGTGCGAGACATTGAGTGATGAAGCGCCTCGGACGGTATGCTGTTGCTCTTGTGTCCGGGGAGGAGGTAACAGGGCATCGGGGGGACTGGGGTTGAGGAAGAGTCTGGATGATAGGTGTTGGTGGGATGGCGATGATGGTGACAAGGGTGGTGCAACGTAGAGGCTGCACATGTGAGAGTGAATGTTCAGGAAAACAAAAACAAAAAAGTGGTTGCGGCTTGTTGGTGAAGAGACGAGACGGGTAGTGCGTGATCACCACGAGTTGCTCTGTTCAGCGTTAGTAATAGCTAGTAATGAATTGGACCTTCATAAACTTTGCGCCTGGTGCTTCACATTTTTGTGCTGTGTGCCCGAACCTGTTTATGTTTTGATATCCGAGGCTTGTGTTTGGGGAAAGGTGCATGGGACGTGAGTCAGGGTATCGCAGTAATGTGCATGGGAAACATGATTTTCCATAATCAACCGTCGTGTCGGTTATTCGTATTATAACGTGATACTATGCCAACTGCACTGCGGCTGGTGCTCGTGCTCCCAAAATATGCAAATACTGCCGAGAAGAACCGCAATGCTCTGAATCAAAAGACAGGGGGGAGACCTCGCCAGGTCTCGTGCTAAAAAGAGCGAGTCATGTATCGCTTTCCCAATTGGGTATCGAAAACTGAAAGGACTGTTTTTGAATCCGAGACGCTATGCATGAGAATAGGGAGTGAAAAATGCCGAGAAAATAAAAAGATGCATGCTTGTTTTGTGGTCGCCGGACCTCTTTACAAGAGGACGGCAAAGCCGAAAAAGACGCTGCCAAAGAGAGCAGCCAGACCCAGACCAGCGTTGGGCATGAATAGGGAACCAGCGCCTTTGTTGTTGTTGCCGCTGTTGCTGCCGCTGCTGCCGGTGGGCTCGGCACCACCGAAACCAGTGACTGGGATGGTGTTGCTGGCGGTGCCGGATGGCTTTGCGGTGGAGGCCATGGTAGTGGGGAGAGAAGTGTTACCACGGTAGGGCTGTTGGGCACCGCATGGGTGGTCCTGACTGAACAAGTGTGTTAGCAGTGTTTTGAGACTGTGAGGTGTTTTGCAAGTGCTTACCGGCAGGCGCTCTGGCAGGCAGGGTCATTGCCGCAGTTGTCAACGCAGTTGTTTCCCCACTGCTGGCAAATGAAGAAGGGCAGGGTCTGGGAGTATTCGGTGATGTTTGGGGAGACACCGTTGTCGCAAACACAGTTGTAGGTCAAGTTGTCGGAATCGCAGTCATTTGCCTCTGTGCTCATGGAGTTGACGCCAGGCTGCTGGAGGCAGATGAGAGGGCATTGTGCCGTGTTCTGAGAGCACCAGTAATCTGGAAATGGGTAAGTTGATAGCCGAGGCAGACACACGGCAGAAGCCAGAATAGCACATACCTCTGGTGGACTGGGGAACGGTGTCTGGGTCGATTGTGTAAGGATAGTTCATCTGCGGAGTTGTCTGAGCAGCAGTGAAGCCAGTCAAGGCGGCAATGCCGAGAGCGAAGATGGAACGCATGACGGAGATTATGGGAATGGCGGTGGGGGTGTTGATGTGTTTAGTGAAATAGGTAGTGGTAGTATGTAAAGCTCAGCGGTTGCGGGAACAAGCGGCTGGTGAGGGAATTACAACAAGTTATATACGGTCAGCGACAGACAGTGAACGAGTCAATGCAAGGGGCACGGATAGTCAAGCAGCGAAGGTGAAGGCGGACGAGGAGGCTGGATGGCACGGCAGGTGTGGCATAATATATAGCGGGAGGGATGGCATCGGCAACAGGCAATAAGCTAGTCGACGACGCGATAGGAAAGCTCACGATAGGGGCCGTGCGCGTGTCTCCCCGCCGGCCAGTGCTGAGGGGCGGGGCGATGATTCGAGCATCCGCGGCGACATGTGCATGTGCGGCTAGAAAGAAGATGCTGCAGGCTGTGGGGAGACATTGCGGCGAGCGGGATTTGCCCAAATGGCTGCGAGCAGGCGACTAGGGGCTGACTAGGCGACCAGGGGGAGAGGTTGGCGCCACCAGCCTAGCATCTGTCTGGCTTAGTCACTCTTGCCCTCACTCGTCTGTCCACCATCCAGGGTCCTCGCACGCATCCGAGCGCGACCTGCCCATCGCCCCCATTAAGTATGCATCCGTTCGGCGGGCCATGGACATCGCCATTGTCAATCACCACACCCTAGCCCGCTACTTAGCCCGCTGCACTGCTGTGTTGATATTATTGCTGCTATTGCTGCTGTTGCTGCTGCTGCCGCGCTGCTGAGTGTGAGCAACCACCGCCCGGAAACACGCCCAACCCCTCCGAACCCCTCCCTCTGGATACTCGACATCATACCCGTCAGCCCTCCCAGCCACAAGTGCATGGAGCCGGCCAAATCTGAGACTCGAGAGCCGTCGCCGCCGTCGCCAGACGGCAGCAGTGTGGCCGTGGTGCCTCCCTACTGGCAGCAGCACCAACGCAGTGCCAGCTATCGCAGCACTTGCTCTGCAGACAACAACCGCCCCGCGCCCATCGGCCTCGAGGACCACACTCATGACGGCTCAGACCACTGCAAGGCGCTGTGGGCGAAAGGCGTCACCATAGACGATTACGTCGTTGTCAGTGGCACTGCACCGGCCATCGGCGCATACGTCGTCTGGAACTGTACCGTTCAGACGCTCGATGTGAGTTTGCCTCCAAAACAGCCATGCGCTAGCCTGCCGCGCTCCTGTTGTCCAGCCAATCACCGGCCTGGCCTCCCATGCCATACCATCCACACCAGGTTGCGCATGCACAAGGGCCCGCGGTGGAGCAACAAGATGCATCTTGCTAACTATCTTTTTCGTCCAGGGAGGCCCCATGAAGATACGCAAGAGGTAGGTGTCGTTGTCATGTTTCCTTTGCCGTGTGCCTCGTGCACCACCACCACCTACCACGTACTACTCCAGTCAGAGCACTGTATTGACAGGCATTGCCAGATATTCCGAGTTTGAGGAGCTGCACGCAAAACTGCTGCAGACATTCCCCCATGCCGCCGGCTCGCTGCCCCAGCTGCCCCCCAAGTCGGTCATCTGTAGGTTGCACCACCTCACCTCACCCCACTCGATAGTGCCGTTGACTGACCTGCTGGGCGTAGCTCGCTTCAGACCCCGTTTTCTGGAAAAGCGGAAACAAGGGCTGTCCTATTTTCTAAAGTTTGTGCTGTATCGATAAACACCCTAGTGCATGTTCACTGACCTTTTTTTTTAGCTGCGTCCTGCTCAATCCGGAATTTGCTGGCGCACCGGTGCTCAAGGACTTTCTGTTCCCGTGATGTCATCTGCCGTGTACCAGTATTGCTTTTGTTCCTCTATTCTGCCCACGGTAGGGTCTGGGCCGCGCACATCAAGGGCGTTGGGTACGACGTTGTTGGCTCTCATCAGCGCGCTACTGCTAGTGCCACGGCCTCGAGGGTTTTGTTTCATCTTTCTGTCTCGCGCAGCTGCGTCACTTGTACATACAGACACACAGACATACGTATACATACCATACATACTTGCAAGCGTGCTTGGAAGTCAATGGCAGTTCAAACAAGAGTCGTCGAGAAAGGTGCAGTTGCTGACCGTGTGCCGCCCTAGGACGGTAGCCAAGTGATTGGCCGGGCAGCCTCGGTGGCGCTGCCAGTCGCCCAAGCATGTCCGGGTTGCTGTGCTGCAATTCGCTGCGTGTGCCGCGAAGATGCTGGAGTAATATGAAAACGTGACGAGTGTGCTATGAAGCTTAATCCGACGTCTGCTCGCCGGGGCGAAGGGTCAGTCGTGTGTGCAGCAGCAGCCGTGGGAAGCGGTACAGGTGCAGCAAGCTCGCCTGCCAAAACAGCGCGGACGAGCTCTGCGAATCGACGACCCCCTAACGGCTCGCGTTTTGCATGAACCCAGCACGGCGCGACTCTCAATGGCAAGCTCGACAATGGGATTCTGAAAAATGTCCCAGCCAGTCGCGAATGATCTTCAGCTTGCTCAACATGGCCAACGCCGTTCGGCCTCTGCTGCGAGGCTCGAATGACCGGCAGACCAGACTCAACTTCTTGCCCGTGTCGCGCGATGACGCCCTCGCCCACGCCCACGCACACTCGCACGCACACGTCCAGCGCAACACCACGCCCACCGCCACCGTCGCGACACGCCGGGCCTCGCGCTCCGGGCCCCTGATTGCGCTTGCAGACGACGACAAGCCCGTCCTCCAGACCTCGCCCGACACGCCCGCCGCCCGCACCACGAGCAGAAAGCGGCCTGCCACAGAGGTCGACCCAGACCAGCCCGACTCACGACCGCCCACCAAGATCACCGTCACACAACCCCACGACGACCTACCTATCCCCAACCGTGTTTCCGTGCCCCTGCGCCTCGACGCCGCCCATGTCCCTTCACCAGCGTCGACGCCGCGACCAGCCAGCGCTGGCAAGCTGACTGCTTCGACCCCATCCGTCCCCGCCCCTGCCTCGACGGCCTCCTCGACTGACAAGAGGAGCCTGCGGAGTCACGACGGTGGATCGCGCCTCAAGAGCCATCTAGCCATTTACTTTTACAACTACGACGACATCATCGCAGGCGTCTCCAAGGACGACGGTAATGCTTGCCGTCCCCGTGTCGCTCTGCGTGCTGGCTGACGTCGCATACAGAACTCCTCGCTCTCGACACGCCCATATACATTGTCGACGAACCCGTCAAGAGCAACACTCCTGCACCCACCACACCACAGCCCTCGCCCAACTCAGTGAGTCCAGCGCGCTCAAGAAGAGCGAAACCCGCCTCGCCTGCTTCGCCTTCGCGTCATGGTTCAGATGCGGCTATACCCCCGGCGCAATCCTCCACATCTTTCCAGGTCCTCAACTATGCCACCATAGCCAATGCAATCCACCACGAGGATGGCCAAGACCCCCTTGCCGACTCGGTCTACTTTACCCAGCACCGGCGAGCAGAGCGCAAGGAGAAGCAACTGCGCAACATTGAAAAAGAGCGCGCTATGCACGAAAAGGTGCAACTGGAGCGCCTGCTCGACGGCCTACAGGGCCCAGACTGGCTCAAGGTCATGGGCATAACAGGTGTTACAGACGGTGAGAGGAAGGATTGGGAGGCTAAGCGTGACTACTTCATCAGAGAAGTAGAAGCGCTAGTCGACAAGTTCCGCGTATGGAAAGAAGAAGAGAAACGGCTACGCGCCGACAAGGAAGCGGCCCTAGCCGCAAAAGAAGAAGAAGAAGACGATGACGATGAAGCAGACGGTGACGACACGGAAGAATCCGACAGTTCCGTTGCAAACACACGAGACGCCCCTCCTCCACAACACCAACCCAAGGAGCCAGAACCCCCCAAACCCAGACGGCCGCCTCGCCCCCACGGCTTCCTCCTTCCCCTCGTTCCACCCGAGCCTGCAGCACCCTTCCAGTCCTTTTACGCCAAACCCCATCTCCGCGCCGCAGCACTAGGCAAGCACCGCCACGGCCGCAACGCCAGCGCCTTTGGCCAGCCCATCCCCGAGTTTGCCGAAAAGGAATTCGAACTGCCCGATGACTTTATCGATCCCCAGTTCCTACGCGACAATGCGAGACAGAGGCGAAGAAGAAAGCGCGAGAGTGGGGTTGGCGGTGCTGCTACTGCTGCAAATGCGTCTTCTGCATCGAATTCGCAGTAGTATCAACCTCCTTCTTTCTTCCTCTCTCTCTCTCTCTTCTTTTTTTTCGCCTTGGACAGATTCTGAATGGGGATTTTTTCCCCATGGAATGTGGAGAGATTCTTTCTCTTCTTTCGTTTGGTATTCTTTCTTCCTTTCTTTCTTTCTTCTTTCTCTGTTATACCCTTTATATGAACTTCACACATAGCTGCGAGCCGCGATGCATGCCACTTTCTGTGCGAAGTCAAAATCAAGGCGTAAATTTTCATATTGGGGTAGGGGCAGTGGCGTTGATCCTTGGGAGGTGTCGTCGTTTTGTTTCTTCTTCTTTCATTTAATATGCATGCATCGGGTTTTCGGGTTAGGCAAAGGGAAGGGGAGGGGGTTTTGCGCTTTTTTTCTCTCAGGCAAATGCGTCGTGTATAGATAAGAGTTGGTATGTAGTAGGCTTTATTGCCTGACCAATCAATCACTGGAAGCAAACAGCACGTATATGCATTTGGTATGAGTTGGGAGACTATTGGGTTGATTATGTGATTCGATATTTAACTACATGACCATGGTGACGGATGAAAGCTGACGACGGTGCAGCTTGAACTCACCCCAGTGTTTCCTTCATAACGTCCACCTCAATTATCTACAAGTAAAAGAGAAGAAGGAAGAAAATGCTCATTTCATCCAGCACATGAGAAAAAAAGAAGAAGTCCGATGTAAATCGCGGACAGGAAATAAGGAAGACAGCCACCCACATACACCAGGTTTTTAGGACCAGCGCCGAGCAATGCCGCGCCCAAATGCTTGTCCCCCATTTTCCGTAAACGCCAAAAACAATTGCCTTCAAGTAATGCATCAAAAAATCACAAGGCAGTTCAAACGCTTGCCTCTGTACTACCGTCATCAAGGTCATCAGCGTGCGCTCCACCCACTTCGTCATCGCTGTCGTCGTCGTCGTCGTCCTCTTCTTCGTCTTGATCAGAAGTGCGGTCATCTTCGTCATCGCCTTCTTCATCTTCCTCGTCATCGTCATCGTCATCCTCCTCGTCGTCTTCATCTTCGTCATCTTCGTCCTTTTCCACAGGCATACCAGGAACCGGTCGCCATTGTACGTAATCATGCTCAACCCATCGTTTACTGCGTGGCAGAACATAAGGATCAAACGGAAAGTACGCATCCATTAAAAACGCTTCTTCTCCCTTCTTGCCCGTCAGAGCCGTCTCTCGACCTCCTATGCCAGTGAGATAGCTGCTGGCAAGACTGCGGGCGAGCCGTACACGCTTATTTGTCTCCACCAATGTATCAACGTAGGTGAAGCGGAGGTGCTTGGCAATACGGCCGAACTGCTTGACAATGTCTGGTGCGCATATCCTGAGCGGATTGAGTTTGCAGAAGATGTTGCGGCGTACAATTTCAAGCGTTGACCGATGCCATTCAAAATCACCCTCGTGATACATAATGTCGGCGTCGGTAGGTAGTGAGCCGTCAGGCGTAACGATGAGGTCGCGCCATCGGAAGCAAAAGGCGTAGAGCAGTGCTTGCGCAATGGCATAGTATGTGCCGTAGCGCCGTAGGTCAGGTCCTGTACACTTTGGCTCGTGCAGCATACGCAAACGCTCGAGTTGCGAGCACAAAAGGTCAAAGACGTTACGCACAACAAACCCGGGAACATGTGCGCCGCGGGCAATGTACGAGGCAAGGTAGGCGCATGCCGATGCCCGTAGTAGTGGAGGCCGGTTTGAGTCAATGGCAAGATGTGAACAGGTATCGACGAAGCGCTCCATGAAATCCGTCGACAGTTGACTAAAGTGGAAGAGGATGAATTGGGTGTGCCGCGATCGGTATGTCGGAATTATGATGGATTGGAACTGTGCAATGAGAGACTGGTAGGTGCGGTCCATCTCCAAAAGGTCGCCCTTCTCGAAGATGGAGTCGTAATAGGCAAACTGAACGTCCATGACGGTATCGAGCTTGAGCATGGTGTCCTTGATGTCCTTGAGTCGCTGCTCTTCTGGCTCGAGACTTTCGTGGCTCGAGACAGAGCCATCATCACTCATGTCGTCGTCATCTTCTTCGTTGTGGATGGCGTCGCCCACAAGTCGCTCCTCTAGATCGTCGTCTATGTCCTCCATGTCCATCTGCATCTGCGCGTCTATCTTGCATAGCTTGTCTGTCACTAGCGTGAGGACCTCACCTCGGATCTCTGGGGCGTATTCAGTGATTTGGTAGATGTTCCGGATGTACTCAGCGTGCTTCTTAGCACTCTCATTGGAAAAGGGAAATGTGCTGGCAATAATGGGGGCCAGGTAGGAGCTGACCATGGGAGTGTATCGAAGTATCAAGACCAGAGTCTCGTGGACGCGTGCCAGGAGGCGAACTCGCTGGATTGGAGGGTCGTCGTGTTGCCTAGCGTTTACCGACGGCAGGTCGAGGAACATGTCGACAAGCATTTGCAGCACAGTCGACATGTAGCCAGACTGTACTGAGAGCAACGAGCGTAGGAAGTTGCGATAGGAGCGCACAAAGTCTTCATTGCGAGCGACCCAACTGCAGTCGATGACGGCATGGACCAGGCCTTTACAGTTGTGGTCAAGCTGCGGCGTGTGGCCAGTGAGGGCAACGAGGTACTTTTGGAGGAGTTGCGAGGATGGCGCGTTGGGTGAGGTGGGTGCTTCCCTGAAGAGGGCTCGGAGTCCGTCGTATGCTGCCTTCTCGCCTGTGGCGTGCTTCTCCATAGCCCGACGCACCTCCTCCCCCACCAGCTCTGCGCTCTTCTCATTGTACTCGCGCAGTACATGCACATCGACTTCGGGGTGGAAGGTGACTCTGCGCTTCTTCAACTGGCCTGAAGCCGTGGTCTCGGCGTCGGACGAATGGTCGGATTGTTTGCGTTTGAGGCTGCTGCCACCCGTGCCTGGGGCGACGACGAGCGGCGAGTGGGGATTCGAAGCAAGTGAAACCATGGCGACTACAGAGCGAATGGCACAAGTTTTCACATTGGAGCAGAAGACCGTGTATCCAGCGCGTGTATACTTGGCGTGTGCTGGCAAAAAAAAGTACAGCGAGGGGCGGGGGTAGTGGTGATTGTGATTGCACGCGACTGCGGTTAGGCCCGAGAGAATTTCAGCGGGTCGGCTGATTATATAAGCGCAGACTGGGCGCACAAGGCATCCACCATGGTTCACTGAGCCACTAATACATGATGATTGTGTCGTCTTATCAATGCAGACAATTACATTTCACCGCACTGGGCAATGACAATGTCTTGCACAGGCTTCCCCTCTGGATTTGCGAGGGTCCGCGTGTTCTCAATCTTGGTGACTACATCCATGCCCTCTACCACATTGCCGAACACTACGTGCTTTCCATTCAGATGAGGGGTACCGTTCTTAGCGGTGATGATGAAGAACTGGCAGCCATTGGTATTGGGCCCGCTGTTCTGTGCATTGTTAGGGCTACGTGGTTTCAGATGATGCACACACACACAACTTACTGCCATTGACAGCAGACCAGGCTTGTCGTGCTGCAGGGTGAAGTTCTCATCTGCAAATTTCTCTGTGCCGTAGATGGTCCTTGAGCCTGTACCGTTGCCATTGATGAAGTCACCGCCTTGGATCATGAAGCCTTTGATCTAGTGCTGTTAGCAATGCGGCAAGCAAGCATGGGTGCAAACAGGTGTGCAAGCGCGAAAAGCGAAACATACGACACGATGAAACTTGCAGCCCTTGTAGCCCTGGGGCTGTCCGCGATTGTTCTTTGTTTCGCCAGTGCAGAACTGGCGAAAATTCTCGGCAGTCTTTGGGACGATGTTCTTGAATAGCTCCATCTTGATGCTGCCCAGCTTCTCGCCTAGGTGCTTATGTCAGTCATGGTGCTGCGAGCGTGGGGTGCATGCAGCTGGCCAAGGGCGACGCGGGCAGACTGGTGGAGGCATACCGCCTAGGGTGATGTCGAAGAAGACGACTGGATTGGGCTCGGTAGTGTCTGCCATGGTTGTGGCGGTGCAATTGGCGGGAGCAAAGAAGAGAGTTGTTGGGCGTGCAAATGTAGTCGGTATGGTGCAGTGCAGTACCGACGCGGCTAACGCTGGATAAGCTCGTACAGGGCCTGGTGGATGCGATTGTCGCCGCCTCTAGCGCTGGGGAAGACTCCACCCGCGACACGGCGAGCAGGGATGTCGGCCTGGATACGCAATCATCAGACGGGCGTGCAAAGGCGCCGCTTGACGGGTGAGCGTGTGCGTGCGACGGTCCATGGCTACATAGCACGTCTGTGTTATTAAGGAGAGGATGTGCCTGGCATGCATGTCGGTGTCAGCCATGTGCTGGATTGGAAAGGGCACCTGCATGCGACATTAACGCAGGGTTTGGGGGCGCAGTGCGTGGAGTGCGATACGGCGATATGGCGCATGTGCATTGACGAACCGCGGGAATACGCATCGCATGACAGACGTGGATTGCTGGTGAGCTGGCGGTTGTTGCATCCAAGGGAATGTTTGCATGGAAGAGAAGACACAAACGCCCGTGGCTCGTCTGACTGCGGCGCCGACGCCCTTTTGTCGTCGGGCAGACGAGTCGGGCAGGCCTGAGGGTTACGAGTACAGTGCCGGGAGTGGTTGTGCCCGGCATCCTTGGCACCTGCCCTCTGCATTAGCGACGTCTGCGTCTTTTGCGGCCTTTATCCGCCTGCCATAAGCCAAGCCTCGCCCTCCCCAAGTGTCACGCCCGACCGACGATCCCATTCACTGTCCATTCCACTCTCTGCCCGCCCTTCAGCCCCAGCCTCTACACCTCGCCAAACACCACCTACCCCCCCGCGCCCTCTGCATCGCATGGCCGACTCAGCTCTGCTCCCCATTCACCGCTAGCCGTCGTGGCATCCCGCACTCACGGCCACAGCTTCAGTTGCGCCGCTCCGCTGTAGCCACCTCTGTCGCCACTTCTCGCCCTTGCTGCTGCCGTCACCACCGCCCGCTCTCTCCACCTTTCTCTCCCCGCAACATCGCATTCCCCGCCCCACTGCATCGC